AAAAACCTGAGTTTCCATTCCAAATAGAAACAAAGTAAAATATCTCCCCTGAGATGTCTGATCGTAATGCACTGTATGGAAAGCACTGGGGCCTTCTTCTTCCCATCCATCCCTCACTGCTCCAGAATTATCTTTCTCAAATACAATGACCATGTCACTCTTTTACCTAAGAGTCTCTAATGTCTCTGGAGGTGCCTCCAGATGAAGCCCAACATCCTGAGCAACTATGCAGGGCTCCTCAGCTGACCTCGCTATCCCTTTCCCGCAATGCCACATACATTCTTAGAGCACTCATTCCCAAACTTTAGTCATTCACATTCTACCTTCACAATGTTTGCTACATTCATCTTCCTGCAGAACAACTGTCTACTTAATATTTTCTTTAAACCAAGTAGTTTTTACCCAATAAATCTATTCTCATTTAAAGCAATGTTTCTAAATCAAGTTTTAGTGTACTGCTTGTAGCTTTACTAAATATTTAACTATCACTACTTAAAATTTATTTTTAAAATCAAAAATGTTATCTCCATGTTCCACCCACATAAAACTATCAGTTACACGACTAATAATTCATGTACCACACACTGGAATGTGCTACTTCAGACAGAAACTACAGTGAATTTTCACCACTCACTGAGCATACTGTGCCTTTTAACCTGTTGTTGCCTCCTCTTAGAGGATCTTTTCCAATTCTCTATAAAGTTACTCCCTTCCTACAGGACTCAATCCAAAAGGCACCTTTCCTTTGAAGATTCCCTAACTCATAAAGTGAGATGCTCCCCATCGGAATCCCAAAGCAATTTTTAGCTGTCTCCACTATAACATTTATCACACTGTAGTGCCTCACACAACTGAGTACTCGAGTCCTCTTTAGGACACCCTGTTATCCACCTAGGTACTCAGAAAAATATCTGCTAAATAAATGAAGAATAAAGAACTATATAGCCAAAGTTAAGCTAAATATAAGGCATTCATAGTATAAATATACCAGCATAATATTACTTCTGTTAAGTTAAAGATATCCTAACACCTCAATGTACGAAAGACTTCTCTATAATGATCAAAGGGGACCAATCAGCAAGTTTAAAGATGTTCCCAGTACATGGCAGACAGAACACAGAAGAAACGAGAAGGGAGTATAAAATTACACTAGATTTCAGTGTAACATTTCTACAAGTTAGGTTGCAGAGGCTCTAGTTATCCCTTTTAGGAATCCTCCATTTAGTGATCGCTTCCTAACTGTGAACTACAGAAGCAAATTTAAAGTAAAGCAAAGAGTTATTAAAGCAGAGATCAAGCATGGTTACCTCTGAAATGACCTCAGTCATTTCAACAAAAATCATGTCACTAACAGGTGAGACACCCTGAACACCTGCTAGTCCCTAATACCAGGTGTACAACTGAGGAAATGTTCTCTTCCTATTATATTTTCCTAGGCTTACAGAGGAATGAACCAGAAAATGTTGAGAGGCGTGGTCTCAGGTTTGGCAGATTTCTTAAAATCTTTTTTTAATTCCCACAAGACATTTAATCTCTCCTGTTTTTATTTTCCTCATCTGTAAAATAAAAAGCCATTGACTGATACACTAATGAACAGACATTCAAAACTGGTAAAAATTTAAGTGTATATATACTTTGATATTCTGGTTATACCTGAAAAAGACAATGACTATACATATGTGTTCTTTCAAGTGTTGTTATTTAGGGGAAGGGAGAACAACCCGAACATTCATAAATTTGGTCCCAGTTAAAGCATCTGTTCAGTACTTCACATAGATTGATTTGTGCCCCCCCCCAATATTCATATGTTGAAATCTAAATACCTAATACCTCAGAATGTGACTTTATTTGGAGACAGGGTCTTTAAAGAGGTAATCAACTTTAAATGAGGTCATTAGGTTGGGCCTTAATCCTGTACGACTGCTGTCCTTATAAGAGGAGATAAGGACACAGACACACACAGAGGGATGACCATGTGAGGGCAGAGAGAGAACAGAGCCATCTAAGCCAAGAAAAGAGGCCTCAGGAGAAACACCCTTCCCAGCACTTTGTTCAGGATTCACAGCCTCCAGAATTGTGAGAAAATAAATTTCTGTTATTTAAGCCACCCAGTCTGTGGTAGTACCTGTCATGACAGCTCTAAAAAGTTAATATAGGTACTCTCCTGGCGTTCAAGAGAAGATAGGTATGCAAAAAGATAAATAGTATGGTAAGAAAGGTATGATGAAGCAGATTATGAATATTATCAACTCAACAGAATTTTATGTAGCAATTAAAAATATAATTATAGAAAGTATGTAGCAACCTGGGAGAAGTTCGTGAAAAGGCAAAATATATCTATTCTATGATAACTATAAAAGACGGTTTGTTAACAGGCAAAAAAAAAAATAGAAGAAAACTTGGAAAAAATACAAGGCTTTTGCTGAAGTGAGATCCTTGATGAACTTTCATTTTTAGTTCTTTATTGCTGTTGTAATAGCAATGATGCAATAAATTTAGAAAGATTTAGTTTCAAAAGAAAATACATGACTTTTTATCAATTTAAACTACCACAGTTTACTGGATATTAAATAATGACAACATTAACTACTGGAACATTCTCTCTCTCTCTCTCTCTCTTTGCTTCACATTTCAATTTAGTTCAAGTTTCTGCTTTTGAGAAAGCTATTCTGAGAAGTCTTCTGAAAGGAAATTCAAAGATTTTATGAGCCTAAAGACTGTACAGAAATAGTCACTAAAAATAAGGACATAAGGAAAATAGTATACTTGATTCTGTATTTGAAAACTGATCTAAAATGAGGTTCTAGAGCCTTGCCTGGCTATGAGCCTCAAAATCAGGCTCATTTATAAAAATACCAGAGAAGACTTTGCCAAAGTAAAGTAAGGACAACTGAAGTGAGCAGAAGAAATATGTCTCCATCCCTGTGAGGCAGCAGAAAGGACCAGAACCCAGGCAGGTTATCAGGGACTCTTGTATCTGACCAGGGCCCTCGCAGCAGAAAGGTGAAGCCCCAGGAAAAAGAGTCCAAATGTCTAGCCTGTGGAAAGAGGGTGTCTACACAGCAGACTTCCACATAAAGGCCACTACGTCCCTGGCAAGACTGCAGCAAAATCTGCATCTCTCCACCACTCTTCTGCACAGGGCAGGTATGGCATGGAAAAGTTAACAAGGTGGAAACAGCTGTACTGGGTGTTAATCAAAAGCCACTGCCCAAATAGCAGAAAAGCTTATATCAAGGACCTTAATTTGCCCCCAAGGCCCTGTTTTTACTTTGATTTAGCAGGACAGGTCTCACTAATGGCAATCTGTTGTCTTCATCCCACACAAGGCCCCAAGCTTGAGGTTCTGCTGCTCCTACGGGCTTGCCTTTGGTAGCCCCTCAAGGAGAAAACCTCCCCAGGAAGGAGATGGATAGAGCTTTATTTTTATCCCAGTTAAAGTCTCTATCCAAGACATTAATCGCTACAATAACCTTGGTCCAGGGCATTTCCTGGAGAAGCTATAACCAGCTGGGGTTAATGAACTCTCCCTACCATTAATTCCTAGGAGAGGCCATTGGCCTGAATTGTTACTTAATTACTCTTCTGTGTACAGCTTCATAAAGCAATGAAATGCCTTCTTTCAGGAAGAAGGGAGATGGTAATGGGGGTCATCAGAGGCCATTAATTTTACAAATAGTTTGTTAGAAACTACAGTATGTTAAGAAGTCACTCTGGCCCACAAATCAACTCAATGCAGTCCTTATTAAGTCAAGATCTGAAACTTCCAGGTTTCCGTGACTAACACACACACAGAAAGTTACAAATTGTGCAGAATCTGGCCAAAATTTACCTACCAGATAAGATAAATTTACTCATTTATTTTGTTGCTTGTCGCATCTCTCCGACACACATAACCTAGAATGTAAACTCCATAAAGGCAGGTGCTTTAGGCTATTTTGTTCACTCTGTCTCCCTAGTACTTAGAAGAGTGCCCGGCAAAAATAGGTGCTCCTTCAAAGTTTCAGTGTTTGTTGAATGAATGAGTAGTGAGTTGGCTACTTTATGGGATTGGGATGCTGGTGTTAGGACCCAGAGCTCCCACATGAGTCACATTTGGACAAGGAAAGTGCTCAGTCTGCCAGAGGAATACAGACAGAGACTATGCCTTCAAACTGCCTAGACAGATCCATTGAAACTACCACCACCAAAGGGAAGACTCAGTCATGAAACATGTACCCATCTAGGCTCTGAACTTGGCACAAATGATGTGAAACCATTGCTACCCACCCTACTGTGACATACTGCCCCACCCATCCTATGTCAATAGCAGACTCATGACCCAATGGAAGGTTCTGAGATTCTATTGGATGGTTCCAGTGGGGAAAGTTTAAACTCTTCAGAAGCTAACAGACTAGGGCAGAATCAAGAAGACCATACATTAGAAGGGAGGTAGAGTTTATTGGAGAAAAGGAGGCAACTAAGTACCAGAATAAGCCACATTATTTACTACTGCTTATTTTTTCTGAGTCCTATTTAATACTAGAGATTTTAATATCTGGAGATCCTTGCAGAAGCCAGGCGAGAAAGCAAAGAGATTATTTTTCAGGGCAGTTATGCACATGTATCCATGCCCATGGGGTGTTAAGAGAAGTAGCTGGGCATAGAGAAAAAAAAAGAGATTTAAGAACAACTGATGACCTCTGTTGATTCTCATTGCCATGTATACATTTCCAAAGGATTTTGTGTTGGTGAATCATCTCAATACTAGGATATATATTGAATTTTCCAGCATTATCCCTTTATCTTCACCATATCCTTACTGAAGCATAATCATATCATGTGCTGAAGACTCAGAATGCTAAGTTTTGTTATGTCCAAAATGTAGAAGTGGGAGGGAGGAAGCCAGTTAATTTTATTCCTATCTTTTGGGACTCTCTGCCAGTTACTGTGTTTTATAAATGGACCTGTTTCCCCTGATTTATTAGATACATCTCTGCTGGTATTTTAGGGAATCTACAATGGAAGAACACAAGAACACTCAGCTAGATTATGAGTAAGTAGTCATGATTATGCAAAGCCACATCCAAGAACCAAGGTATGAAGCATGACTGCTGTTGATTCCTTTCTTCATCTTCGAGTCTCCCTCTTTCCTTCAGCTCCTATCCATCCATCCTTCACCACTCTCCGCCCCAAGCACCCCATTGCCCTCTGAAGTGATAGCCATTGCAAATCCCCCATCCAAACCAGCCCTTCCAAGGTAGGACTTTTCTATTCCAAAATCATCCCTCATGCCTACTCAAAACAAAAGTCTCTCTGCCTCACTATCTTATTTCTAGTTAATTATTTTAGAGAGAAACCAATTACTTAAGTGCCACAAAAGAAAATGAAAAATTTATTGAGAGGTTCCCATGTGCCAGGTAACTTTCTAGACTATACTAGCATTAAGTTACTATTATTTCATTCAAATTTACTTCAAAAAAGATGTCTGCATTCATGAAAGTGAATGCCTGGATTACTTCTGTGTGCTCAATGGAGTGACTCCCATAGTAGATTCTCACGCTTTACAGCCGACAGTGGAGAAGTTTTCAGATGGGGGAGGTGGGAAAAGACCAAGCCCTAACTGGTGGTGGAAACTTCTTGTGGCTCTGCATAAAGCAGGGTCCACGCATAAATTATGTAGCTGCTACCCAAATAGAAGTACTTGATAAAAGTGTATAGCATTGTGAACAATTTGAAAAACCACTCTCTCCAACGCAAAAGGCTATTTAAGGAAGCAGAACTTCTCCTGGAACCAAAGTGGAGGTGCACTATAATGCTGAGCACTTTGGCTGAGAAAGGCTGGGTAAAACCGCCCTTGCTGACTGAGTTAAGAATTATTGAAACAAACTGAAGAGCATAATTAAGAAATTAAGAATTAAGAATATTAATTATATTTAAATTCATAATTAAGAAATTAAGAAATGCAATTTCCTAAATATAAAAAAGGAAAAGTACACTACCAGAAATAACCAGGCTAATGAGTTACATGTCTTCTAGATATTCTCTTTGGTCCAAAGATTATTGATCTTAAGATAACTGGCCCTTGTCCATTTGGGGGGCTGAGTTTATAGGTCAGAGAAAGTGGAAATCTTAAGATTGGTCCAGTCAAAGAGGAACATTAACAGTTTGAACATGGACCTTGAAAGGGACATGCAGAGAATAGATGAAGCAAATCAAGAACTTCTTCTCAAAATCCACGAGAAAGAAAACGAGATTCAGAGGTGAGTGTTGGGGCTTCATGAGGGACATTCCTAACCCAAAGATCTGGGTGGAGGAAATGAAACACAATTGAATTTTCCAGCTTACTCTGGGGACCTGTATCTTATATATGAAAAGAGTTTCTTCTTCATTCTTTGGTGTTTGTCTATGTCTCAAACCCTGAAATATAGCAATTTTCAAAAAGAATCCTAAAAGAATGAGTGATGCTTACCAGAGCTGAAAGAACACTGGGGTGTTTGACGTGGAAATCATAGGAATCTTGCTTGTCTTATCTTTAAAGTGATTCTGATCCTAAGGTTCCAGGAAAGAAAGGATTTCCAACTTGAGTTTTGTATTTATTATCATTGAGTACCCTTAAAACTGACATGTGCTTTACCAGTTTGAAGGCTGTCATTCCTCATAGTGTGTGCTTATGTTATACAGGCTGGAAAGTGAGATCACCCAGACCAGAGACTTGGCTGAAGATGAGGAGTGGGAGAAGGAGAACTGCACCACAGTAGAGAGGGAAAAAGCCTTGCAGGAGCTGGAAGAAGAAACAGCCAGACTCGTAAGCAAAAAGCAGGGAAGAGCAATTTGATAGGTTTGATTCCTCAGCACTGTTAGATAAGTCTCCCCTTTTTACACACAAAAAATAGTCAACTCCAAAGTCATGGCAGATCGTGTTCTTCCATGGGAAGGAGATGTGTGGAGGTTAGGGTTTCTCTGGTAATATTTAATATTAGGAAGGCCTGCACGTGGACATCTCAATCCCTGGTAAGTTGGTGTGTCCATACTGAGATCAAACCACAGGTCCTTCACCTGCCATTATGCAGGAAGGTACAGTTACTGCAGGAAAACATCTCTGGGGTGAAATGGAGAACAATCAACTGAATAAAAACAGATGATGGTGCGCAGATGCACACTTATACTCTACTTATACTCTGCTTCTTTTTCTCAACAGGATAGGAAGAATGAGACTCTGGTCCACAGTATAGCAGAACTTCAAAGAAAGGTGGGGAAGAGCTCTCATGTTCCTGGGTATCCCCTAGTCATCAAAGAGGCAAGGGAGGGGAAAAGATCGTGCAAAATCCCACATGTCAGAGAGACCTGTGCTGGGGATGGCTGCTACTCCTGCTCCACTCTCCTGAGGCTGAACCTCATGAGCTAAGTGCCATGACTTTGGCTTGCAAGTGTCTGGTGAAAGGAGTGCATAGGGTATTCCAGGTAGTCCGTGATCCCATGGCTTCCTCATTCTATCACAAGAAATGGAATCCAATGGACAATCTGTTGAAGGGATTGACTGGGACCCTTATGGTGAGAGGTTAATTTTACTTTTACTAGAGACTTTTAAAATACTTAATGCCAAAAAGTTACCCTTCTTTGTCCAGGTAATCCCTCTACCTCAATGCCTGGTTAAAATACAGTGGGCTTCTTTATGATTACCCTACTTTCTGACCTATGCCTGGAGCCCTGAGTAATCCAGCCTGGACTAGGGGGTTCAGGGAAGTACTCCTGCTTTGAGCAGACTCTACTTGGCGGTCAAAACTAATGAGAAGATGGAGGTAGAACAAAGATGTTCCCAAATATACCAAGTATCCACCAAGAGACCATTTCCTGGCAGCTTCAATCAAGGCCAAGTTATTGGCCTCACACACCAGAGAATATCTTTGTCTTCCACATTTTTTAATTTGATATATTTTTTACTTGAAATCTATTTTTTCTAATTGAACCCACAGCTTACAAGAAAATTACATAAGGCAACGAAGTGTGAACAAGACAAAACAAAGGGATCCTCAGAAGAGTCAAAGGTAAACAAAAAAGCAACCTCGAATGGGTTTGGGCTGCATGACCAGAAAACAAACCTTCAAGTGGAAACAATTGTCAAAGTTAGGACAAATTCTTTGTAGTTTCAGCCATGCCAGTCTTAAGCCTTGGCTGCTAAGTGCTGAATTCTCCTCTGCCCTTAGTAAGGAATTTCAGTCTGAAGCCATATATTTTTGTTCTCTCTCCATCAAAAAGAGCAGAATACAAATGCACAAATACATATTAATATTAGAGGTAGCTGCAGTCCCTCATTTAAATCCTGGCCCCAGAGGTACTTACAGAGAATATGCGAAGGTAGGCAATTTAATCAGTCCCTCCCAGCCTCAGTTTGAAAATGAATGAAACTGTATATACAAAATATTCTCTTTTTTGGAGTTCTAAAACATTAAAGGGTCATGATTTTAAGGTGATTATTTAAAAGTCTGGCTGAAGCACATGTATGAATTCACAGGCAGAGTTTGGATTTGTAAGTCTACTGTGTGCTAGGTAATTTACACATACTGTCATTGACTCCCATCCAGAAAAGGATTCAGTCAGTTGGTCCTTCAAGTATAGAGTGACCTCTGCTAAGTGCATCATAGAGTGCTTAGCATTTCCTTAGTTGTGTTCCAGAGCTAAGAACATGAGCACAACCACAACCCATCTGATCAAAGATACAAGATTTAGACTTTTTTATTCAGAGAGCAGATAAAATTCTTACTTGATCATTTCTGTAGGATTATCTCTTTGTCCTTGCCTCCCTAATCTCTTTTTCTTCTTTTTTAAATATTATTATTACTATTATCATCATTATTATTATTATTTAGTAATCTCTATATCCAACATGGGACTCAAACTCATGACCCTGCGATCAAGAGTTGCATGTTCTTTTGACTGAGCTAGCTAGGTGCTCCTTGTTTCTTTTTTCTTAAACTGATAGTTATTTTTATATATTTAAGAACAAATAAAGAGAGAATTCTTCGTATAAAGATAAAAATTATGTTTCACTACCTAACAGTATAATATACAATGGGCTTTTAAACAGACCGTCCCTATTTCTCAATCTTTCTTGCTTCTTAAACCCACATTTAAGCCCATACTTAAGCCTACACTGTGTGCATGAAGCCTCCAAAGATATGGACACACTGAAAATAGAAAATGAAAGAAGAGAGCATTACTGCCCTATGTTCTGTTGGACAAATCAGTGTTGATAGCAATAAAAAAAAAAAAAAAGAGGAAGTCCAAAGCCACCAAGTAAGCTTGCTTGGGCATGCCCATCCAGGAAACTTATTTGGGAAGAAAGAAATCAGGACTGTGTGTGTATCTCGGGAATAAACTGGAACTAAGACTACAAAGGAACATGAAGTTCCCTGACTACCCTTGCCATAAATCTGCAACAATCAGGAGATTAATGTTCTTCCTTCTTCTGCCCAAAATGTGTTTTGCTAATGTAAGCCTACCAGAATCTAGTGGTGACACTTTTAAGTCTGGCTATACTGGCCACGTCAGGTGAGCTGATTCCAATAGACTCTAGATAGAAAGTTCCCATCACAACAATGGCCATTATTTTCCTGGCAGTGCTAGGTCCAGCCCTAAAACGTTCCAGAGTATTATCAACCCTTTGAATTACTCCCTTCTGCCCACTATTTTGTAGAATTCTCAGGTGGCATCTCTAATTCTATGAAATATATATCATCTCTGTTGCTTCTGTTCCTCCTGCATGCCGGTGATCAGTTCAGTAGTTTAATAGGATGCCTACCTCAACAACTTGTGACTCAGGCCACTGTCTTTAAAATACAGCCCTGTTGCCCGACTGGCTCAGCATCTGACCCTTGGTTTCAGCTCAGGTCATGATCTCAGGGTCCTGGGATCAAGCCCCGTGTCAGACTCCAGGCTGAACATGTAATCTGCTTGAGGATTCTCTCTCTCTCTCTGTGTGTCCCTCCCTCTATGCTCACTTACTCTCTGTCTCTCTCTCTGAAATAAATAAATAAATCTTTAAAATATAGCCCTTACCAAGTGAAAGTCAGAGAAAAACAAATACCATACGATTTCATTCATATGTTGAATTTAAGAAACAAAACAAAGAAACATACGGGAGGGGGAAAAAAGAGAGAGGGAAACAAACCATAAGAGACTCTTAACAACAGAGAACAAACTGAGGGCTGATGAAAGAGAAGTAGGTAGGGACTGGGCTAGATGGTTGATGGGCATTAAGAAGGACACTTGTTATGATGATCACTGGGTCTTGTATGTAAGTGATGAATCACTAAATTCTACTCCTGAAACCAATAGTATTGCACTGCATGTTAACTAACTAAAATTTAAATAAAATTTTGAAAAAAAATAAATAAAAATTTTCTGTTTGAAATACAATAAAATAAGTAAAATACAGCCCTTAGCACATTTGGTTATTTGGTCCTAGATGTAATTGCCTGAAAGGGAAAGAAACTGTGAGAAGAGTCCAAACATGAAATAATGGTAGCTAGATGAGAGTGGGAACAACAGAACTGAAAAGGGAAAGGAGGAAAGACTGCAGTATGTCCCCTCTGCTTATACGATATATCCCAAATGCATCTGCTCCTTTCTATCTACTAGTACTGTAACTACCACCCTTTTGAAAAACACTCTAAACCCTCACCTGGATGCTAAAGCAGCCTCTTAACTGATCCTCTTGCTTTTACACTTACCCCTAAACAATACACGTTCCACACACAGAAAGAACTCTTCGTTAGAAAGAAAACAAACCGAATTGTGTCTTTACAACTTCAAGCTCTCCCTTGGCTTCTCACTGCAATTAGAATAAAGAATCAAACTCTCTAGAAGCTATAAACCCCTACGTAATCTCATACATGGCTACCTTTCCCCACCTCGCTTCATTCTAAACAAATCTCCCCTAGGTTCCCACCACATAACTTCTTCGAATATGCCCAATTTGTGCTATTTCACAGTCTTGGTCCTTGCTGTAATCTCTGCATGGGAAATATGTCTTCCAGTACTCCATTTGGCTAATATTTACCATTTAAATTCAAAGTCAAGAGTCATCTCACCTCAAGTTTGAATCCCCTCCAATAAAAAGACATCTGAAATTGGTCCTGGGGCACTTGAATGACCTGTAAAATAACCTTGAAGATCCCATTTCAGAATGGAACCCGCTTTTGCCTGGCTGAGTTACCAGTCTCCTTCGCTTTCTATAGGCCAAGTTACAACAGCTGGAAGCTTCCTGTGCAGACCAAGAGAAAGAGCTAGCCAAGGTAATGACAATATCTTCAATGCTACTTCTCCCAAAGGAAGGAAATCTTGATCCTTGGTCACACAGTTTGAAGGAATGTACTAGACTGTGTGAATACAGTCTCCCAAATCACCTTCTCTTTAACATTTTTATAGGATACCTTCCATAATTTGTATCAATAAATTAGTATCTATTTTTCTCCCAACTGTCCCGAAATAATTCTCTTTGGGACCATAAAGAATAGCCTGTTTATCCTTTAAAAAAATATGAGTTTATATGTACAGAAATACATATTTAGAACAACTAGAAAAGCACATTTAGGGCCTAGAACCTACGAGGCACCAAGTACACTACTGTTCTTATAGCAATTTACTGAACAAAATTTAAGACTGAATTTTGGCTTCCCAGGTAATGGAGGACTATGCATTTGTGGCTCAGCTCTGTGAGGATCAGGCCCTCTGCATAAAGGTACAGTTTCTCAATAAAGGGATAGCAATGGGTTTGTTAGGGTACAGGATGAAATGAAACCAGGCTTTTTTTTTTTTTTTTTTTAAACATATAATATCTTTTTATCCCCAGGGGTACAGGTCTGTAAATCGCCAGGTTTACACACTTCACAGCACTCACCATAGCACATACCCTCCCCAATGTCCATAATCCCACTGAAACCAGGCTTTTTAAAGAACACTGCAACAACATTAATTCTTCAAGGTGGCATTACAAAGACTTTTAGGGGGGATGACACTCTACCACCAGAATCATTCTATTAGTGCCCTAGTCTCACAAGCTCTGTGCTCTTAAATTAATAATGAGCACTTTTTCCTATTTATAATCCTGATAACCACAGGCACCTGCCCAGTGGTGAAGTGCAGTGAGAGATCAGGAGTAGTGGAAGGCTAGGGTACTGGGAAAGGAGACACAATGGCAGTGGGAATGCCAACCATTCACATGACAATGTAGTGAAAACGTGCTTAATATGATTAGAAAGAGCATAAAGCTTCTGGTTAATAACTGCGATTTCTTTTATTTCCCTTTGAAGAAGTACCAGGAAACACTGAGGAAAATAGAAGAAGAACTAGAGACTCGGTTCCTTGAAAGAGAAGTGTGAGCTTTGGCAAACAAAGGAACATCCTGGTTTTAGTGGTAACTCCATCTCAGCCTGGGTCAGAGCAAACTTTTCTGACCAATTCCTATTCGGAATTGAGTGAGCCCCAACACCATATAACCTTCCCCTCTCTTAGCGAGCTGGTTGATTCCCACAAACCACACCCATATCAAAATGCAGGTCCTCCCATCTTTCTTAAAAGACTGCAGAAACACACCTTCCTTCATAATTTTATCACATTACCAGTTATTTGGGTTTATATTAAAGGCAGGAACACATGCTGCAAAAAGGGTTACTGGTCTGGGACCTTGATAAAGAAAGGCATTCCTTAAATTTTACCAAAAAGGTCTTAAAATTAATATCACCTTTACTTCCCCAAAATATATAGAAACTCAACCATATGGAATAGACATGAAACTAATCTGTAGATACAAACTAGGGCTATCATAGTAAGAAACCAAATTTTATACTATATGAAACTATGAACATTGAAAATTAGAAATAATAGAGAAAAGCCCCCTCCAAAAAAATTAATCCTTGATTTTATCAAAAGAGTCTAAATAGTGAGAAACTAAAGCCAAAAACCTCACTTTCATTTCCTGACTCTCTTTAGAATTTAAATCTTAAATCAGTTGGGAAGCATTTCCATTTATTAAATATTTTAGAATCTTGGGATCAAGAAAAAAAGACCTAAACTGTACATAGACTCTAAGTAAACTCAGTCCACACTGTGGCCTGGAGGCTAGAATACCAGGACTTGGAGGTCCCTGCCCCTAAAGAACACCTTCAAGTCTCCTGAGCTCCTTCCTGAATATTAAGTGTGGCTTCATTGCTAAGCCAAGATTTTAGAATGGGGCTGCCCAGCGGAACTTTCTGTGCTATCCAGTATGTAGCCACTAGTCACCTACTGAGTACTTGAAAGATGACTTTTGTGACTGAGGAACTGATTTTTTTATTGTCATTAAATGTAAAAAGTTACATATGGTCACTGGCTACAATAGCGGACAGTATAGCTTTAGAATATAAAACTGTTTTTAAATAACAATGATGTAGTATGAATATTTGTATGTACTTTATTCAGTCCCTATCTTGGTTCTTTTTCCCCTAGATCAAAAGTCTTGAGCATGAATTTTCTAAGAAAAGAGTCTAACAGCCAAAATCATAAGGTAAGCATTTCACTCTACCTTCAGCTTCTCTCTGTGTCAATGCCTTCAAGGGAGTTTCCAAAACACTATCAGCCACCAAACACATACCAATTTTCCCATGTGCATTTTCTAAGATTCCAAGAATAGTATCAGACATAATTATAAAGCATTCCAACCCTAAAGACACAAAGAAGAGGCTATGGAACAATGATCTTCCCTTTCTTAGCGCCATCCAAATAATGTGTTCTCAAAGAAACTAGCCTAAGACCTCACAGAGTTCTGCGTGGAAGCAAGAAGGAACATTAACTGAGGGTACACTGTATGGAGAGGAAGCCAACACAGGACACATATACCACTTCTCCCATCTCCCAGAATCACAGTGCTCTTTCCTGGTGATCCCAACATGGTCCCAAATCTCTCACTACACAGAGCACCAGGGCATCCATCACCAGCTAATCTAACCCATGAGATAAAACATGAGAAGTCGGGGCACCTGGGTGGCTCAGTGGGTTAAGCCTCTGCCTTTGGCTCAGGTCGTGATCTCAGGGTCCTGGGATGGAGCCCCACATCAGGCTCTCTGCTCAGCAGGGAGCCTGCTTCCCCCTCTCTCTCCGCCTGCCTCTCTGCCTACTTGTGATCTCTGTCTGTCAAATAAATAAATAAAATCTTTAAAAAAAAAAAAAAAAACATGAGAAGTCATTACTTTATGATACAGCTTCAGTGTCTATTCATATTTAGCACCATGGTGCCATTAGCATATATGCAGAGATCTAAAGGACACAGAGTTGGATGTAGAGCACCAGGCCTCTTGGCCTGCTTGTGGCAGCAAGTACATAGGGCAAAAAGATAAAACATTTGTTAGACTTTAATTTTGTAATTTATAATGGCTTTAGAGCCAGAATTGACATTCACCAGAAATTTTGTCATTGGATATATGGTCTTCATAATGTCAGAAAACAAAAAGTCATCTCTCCCTAAAAAGCAAATATCCACAAACAACCATTGTCCTTGGGGTCATCCAGATGTTTGGATATATATTAGACCACGTTCACAGTGACCATGGTTCCCACTGGGAAGTCATGGGTCACTCTGATTCCAACCTTGTATATTATACAAGTCATTCTAGTCCCAACCTTGCATATTATCCAACAAACAAAAACAACAAAAACAAAACTCCTGAAATTAACTGGACCCCACCTCTCTAGAACCAAGCTTACCATGCTCCCTGATATATCCTACCATCTGTCCCCCAATGACTCATCAAAGCATCCCTTCTCACCAACTATTGGAGAAAAAGCAGAGTTGTCTTCATCAAGATTACTAAAGTTCCATGTGGTTTGATGACCTATGATGTTTGAGCAATCTTTACAGAGTCCGCCTCAGCAACTGACCAGTTGACATGCTGCTCAAGTTACAGAACCAAATTTGTAAACCAAAAAGTTTCTAATTCTAATTCTGTGAGCATCATTTTCACAATTTTAAAATGTGACTGTAATTCCTCTTCATTTTTTATCTCACAAGGAAGCTAAAAGGAAAATGAAATAACTGAGAAAATATTTTGGAAGAGAGATGCCACAGAAATCCAGGATATATCCTCATCTTTACATTTTTATAGCTCTGAAAACTTCTCTTAGAATATATTTATATGGTTTTCATAGCTTATAAACTTTTTTAAGGGTTACGGATTAAGTAGGAGGTAAAAGCAGAGTTGAAAGAGCCCTGAATGCAGATTTGGAGGACCCAGGTTCCAAGCCTGGTTCTGCCACTTACTAGCTGTATGACACATCTTACCTTTTTATGCCTCAATTTATTTCTACCAATAAATAAAAAAGGGATACAAAATTACACACACACACACACACACACATATGTAGTTGTCTTAAAAATTCCATCTGTTATACATGTAAAAAATTGTTAAGACACTATCTAAATATAACATTAACTAATAGCTCACTGAATATTATTTGATAGGGATGAAAACTCCCAGAAATTGCTTATTTATCGATGTCCTTTATTCTCCCAGGATCATTCTCTACAAAAGAAGGGAACACTTTTCTGCAAAAGGTAGGTAAATATGTTTGAGTAAACCTCCTGGAAAACTGGGTGTTCCACTTAGCCATCCTGGAAATAATAAAAATAAAAATGAAAATAATAAACTCTAGACAAGGAGACCTTTGTATACACACATACTCCCAGGGTGAAGTCAAAAAACTAGTGTCATTGATGACTATGTTTCTCAGTTCTAATGTATGACTTCCTTGTCCAAAGGCAATTCCTAATCTCAACTTCCCAGAAGTTGGGATTCTATTCACTTTCAGAAGTGAATAGCCTAGTAGTAATCAGAAACAGGAATTTTGTCGCCTAAGAGAAATATGGCAAACTGATACTCCCTCTTCCCTTTAACAATCTGAATTAGCTTGATGGATCTGGTTCTCCAAAAACATCAGTAGATTATGAATGGGAAGATCCTTTTGTGGTTTATAGGATGATGAATGGGGTTTTCACACTATTATGTCAGATGTTCCTCCCCCCGATACTGTAAAATGTCAACATGTTACATTAGAAATAGTAGAGAACTTGTAAATGCACATATACCCCAGCCTAATAGTAAATAAGAGAAAAAAATGACTGTGAAAGAGAATCATACCCAACAGTACCCAGCCCATAATAACTGTTCAAAAATACTTGTTAAACTGAGTAAGAGCTCAAGATTCAAACAACCAAGTGGATATTAGTCCTGAGGGAATCAGTGTGATAGCAAAATAAACTGGCATTCGATGAAACCCTTGCATTTCCAAAAAAGGTCAGAGTATGTTCAATATAATGTGTTTAAGAAGGCACAGAGAGACATATATTCAAAGTGGTATGAAATATGATTTAGAAAGTGTTCCATCAAAATGGCTAACAAAATTACTGGTGCTTAAATATCACCTCCAGTTGTCTGGAAAATTTGCTTATGGGGGATACCCCCTCATACCAGATAAGTGAAGTGTTACATATTTGGCTATCCTGAAATACAGTGTTCCCAGAACAGCTAGCAGAATTTCCTTAGAACTCCCAGGCTGCCTTAGCCTATAATTTGACACCAGTGCCTCACATGGAACTGCCCATGTGGGCTCCCAGGATAGGAACTATTTGCCTTGAAAGAGTTGGTATCCCGAAGAGAACCTGACAACATCCTAAAAGTCTAGCTCATCATATCAAACTAAAAAGGTCTCTCCTCTTGCTCTGTTCCAGTATCCTATGGGGCACTGGTATATTGGGTACTGACTCAAGAAATAAGAAAGCTGGATTATTCCTAAGATTTCTGTGAGAATGTTATCCCAGAACTTTTTCATGAATACTGTATTTAGCTTCAAGGAGAATACTAGGAAGAGGTTTGTAAAGTGTTTCTCATTTTAATTCTGACCAAGATGCTGTACTATAACAAACCCTGCCTCCTGCCACAAAGATCAATTCTAGAGAAAAACTTCAGGAAACTGGTGGGGAAGGGGCTGTTTTTCACTGGTAGGAGGAGGTAGGTAGTGAATTTGTTCTGCAGCAGGCGGCAGACCAGCACAGCTGGATTAGGTAATACAGGAAAGGAAAAAGTAGAGATTCACTTGTGCAAATCAGAGTAAAACCACAAGGCCAAAATAATTCATCAGTTAAAAAAGAAATCAGGACCACCACAGAGGAATTTATAGAAATTAGGAAACATTAAAAGTAACATGAATGAAAGAAGAGAAATACCATGATCATGGATAGAAAGCCATAATATCATAAATATATCAATTCTCTTTAAATAGGACTTAGTTCAGTTCCAACCAAACTGCCCTAAAGGTTTTCATTACATTAAATACAGTTATTCTAAAATATACTCTATATAGAAGAATAGAGTCAAAAACAACCTGGATAATTTTTAAAAAGAGCAAGGAGTGGGGAATATGCGTTCCCAGATATCAGGACTTACTATGAAGCTGCAGTAATTACAATAGTGATACTGTCATAGGAATAGGAAAATCAATCAATGAAATAGGAGCATGCATATATAGAACTTCAATATGTGATGTATGACAGTGATTATATGCCAGAGAGGAAAGGAAAAATTGTTCAATAAACATGGTAGGGGGGAAAAAAGTAGTTATCCAGATGAGGAAAAAATGAGATTGGATCACTACTATACAGAATATTTAAAAAGCGAGGCCAAATGTATTAAGGACTAAATGTCCAAAAAAAAAACTTTAAAATTTGGCATCAGTTATCTACTGCCACACAAAAAATGGTCCCAAAACTTAGTGGCTTCAAGCAACAAACATTTATATGACAGTTTCTGCAGATTAGGAATCTGAGCCACTTAGCTGGGTAGTTCTGGTCCATGGTCTATTACCAGGTTGCAATTAAGATATTGGCCAAAGTTAAAGTCAGTGGAAGGCTTGGCTAGGCTGGGGGATCTAGTTCCTCCATAGCTTACTCATACATCTGGCAACTTTTGCAGCTTGTTGGCAGGAGGTCTCAGCTCTTCCTCACATGGAGCTCTCCACAGGGCTGCTTGTGTATCCTCACAGCATGACAGCTGGCTTCCTCCTAAGAGTAAGGAGCAAACTGCAATGCCTTTAGTATGTAATCTAGGAAGCCACAAACTTCCATGATACTCTATTCTTTAGAAACCAAGTCATTAAGTCCCAGCCACATGCTGAGGAAGAAGAGTCTCTAGAAGGGCATGATACCAAAGAATGTGTGGACATATTCTAAACTATCATAAAGTGTTAGTAGAAAATAGGAGCATCTTTTAGGCCTTGGTGTAGGGAATTGTTCTTAAATAAGACCAAAAAGCATTGATTCTAATTAAAGATTGATAAACTAGACCTTATTAAAATTAATAACTTTTGTTCTTCAACACCTTAGAGCAAGTAAACGTTTTAAAGTAGAGAGAAGATATTCACAGTACACACAGTGGAAAAGGATTGATATCAAGAACATATAAAGAATTTCTACAAATCAGTAAGACTAATCCAAACAACCTAATAGATAAATGGGCAAGAGGAAACACATAAGACCTGTGAACAGATGTTCAGCATCATTGTTCATCAAGGAAATGCAAATTAAGACCATTACTTTACACCCATTTGGCAAAATTTTTAAAATCTGATGTTATCAAGTGTTGGAAAAAATATGGACTCACATGGTTATGGTTACAAACTGTTGCCAATGCTTTGGAAAACAGGATGGCAAAACAGAAACGAAAGATAAAAGAACAAGATAATTTCAGATAGTGATAAATGTTCAAAGAAAATAAAACATGGTAATGGAAGAAAGAGTAACAGGCAAGCCAGCATATGGGAAGGAGCTGCCTTTACAAGGCGTTGTTGGTAATAAAGACAACAATTTGAATAGCAAGAAGGAGCAATGCATGCATTTAGCAATGTTTTATTTTGTTCCTGGTTTTCTAACCTCTGGTTAATAGTTTCTTAACTTTCTCTTTTCAGGATTTTTCAATATGTCTTTTTCACCACCCTATTTTTCATCAGACTGTTGGGCTACTTGTTTTTTCATATAAGTTTTATAAATCCAGATCTCCTTATCAACATACTGCCCAAGATACTGAGCAGGGACATCCTGTGGAAGCTAAGATGCTTCTTCTTTCCATCTCTCACACTTGAGACAGAGGACATGTTACCTCACTGATCCCCAAGAAATATCCTTGAGCAAAAAAAGGCAAGTGGTGTCTGAATCTGTAGACTAAGAGACGGCGGGATTCGTGGAGGGAAAAGGTTTTCTCCAGTTTTCCCTTGAGGTCTGTCTACTTGATCACCTTCTCTTTCCATGTTGTCTTTCCAAGGCTGACCTTGCCCAGGAAAAAGCTCTGTCAATAGATTTCTAGGACTACAGATAAGCTAAATGTACCAGATAGTAAACAAACTAGACCATTTTTAGAATAATGTCATAGATGTTAAGCGAAGTTAGAGTTGACCAATTTTTCTAGAAAAATCTTTAAAATCTGAAAGACTGGATCCCTGCCTGCAATGCAAAAGATTGCTCTCTACTTACATTAGAATTATTTGGTTACAAATGAACCTGAACTTAAACTAATTTATAAATTCATAGAAAAAAAAAAAAAGCGGGGGGTTGGTATATTGCCTCGTGCAACTAAAAATCCGAGGTTCCCAGCATGGCTGGATCCAGAAGTCTCAAAGCAAGATTAAAGGGGTTTCACCACTCTCTCTTTGAATTAGCATTCTCCTTTTAGTGGCAAGACATTACCAAAAGCCTAAGTCCCACAGTACAAGATTTTGCCTTGGCAAAATCAGTCTTTTCAACAGTTCCAGGAGGAAACTTCAGAGAAACTGCCTTAGCTGGGGCCAAGTGCCTACCCCTGCCTGACACTCCATGCAGCCAAAGAAATGGGAGTACTCTGATTGGTCAAGAATGAATCCACGAAACATATATCCAATCTCCTAGGGAGGTAGATAAGAAGAAAAGAGACAAAGAGGTTTTCTAACTTGGTCTTAACTGGTCTGTTTGGGCAACATCTCTATACATCTACATTCCAAAATAATTGTTCCTCAAAATGATTTCATACTGCTCAAAATTTGAGAGCAGAGGGAAAGTAAGAGAAAAGAGAAAAGGAAGAAAAAGAAATTAAATCCCTACTGCTGTGTAGTGTTGGAGATATAAAGATAAAGAAGGTAAAAAGAAATAAAAGATAAGTCATGTGCATATATGATGAGTCCCACAATAGAAAAAAAAAAAAAAAGGAGGAATTAACTCCCCATGCCTATGCCCAGTAGAAGGTACCATCAGATCCAAGGATTATGCTAGCCTGAGAGGAAGAATGACAGGCCAAGCTCTAAATAAACCATATGTCAGCAAAGCCATTCTCTATCGAAAGACCTAAAGCATCTTCTACCCTAGATGGATATTTTAAATAAAAGTAACCAAATAGAAATACCGTAAAATTGAGCAACTCTCTTTCTTGACAAGTTACCTAGAATCATAAATTACTTCTTAATCCCAGGCTTCAGAAAACAAAACAAAACAAAAAAACCTTTCTCCTGGCAATTATTACAGTAAAATATAAAACACTTGTAATCTGTCAGTACAAACATCTCTGAGTTATTTACCTACCACCGTAAATGGAGTTACCTTCCACCATGTCAATAAAGATCTACATTGCATGAACCACTTTATTCACTTTATGCACCACATGCATTCACTTTATTCCTACAGTGAATGGCAATGGAATTTTGGGATCCAGTAGAAGCTAGCAGTTTCTTCCCGCTGGACGGCCTATACCACATTAACCTGGATTTCATTCTTGGCAGAAGGGAAAGATAAGGTTGGGCCAGCTCCCATTTACAGTGTCCTACCACATGATAAAGCAAGAAATCCACACCTTCTAAACTCATGAATTTGAAACTCAGAATCATGGTGGGGGAGGGGGAAAAAAGCAGTACTCTCCCACATTGTGGTTTCAGAGTCATTTATCTTAAGAAAATTTTTTTAACTTTTTTTCATATAGATTTCATTGTTCACTGAATTTTCTTTGCTGTAACCAAGTGGAATAATGCTGAGAAAACAGCCCTCAAAAGTTACTGTACAGGGCATAATCCCCTAACACCAGCTTGAAGTCCACAGAATTTCCCTGTTTGTTGTTTAAGTAAAAGTAAATGTTGACTGTTGTTTGCCGTTATACCCAGAAGATAGTAGCTGAGAGGATTCACAGCACAAATGTCTGCTCAGAGGTCAGCCAAAAAAAAAAAAAAACAACTGTTCTCAGAAGGTAGAGAAATTCAGCAAAACAGTTTTCATCATGTAATATCTTTTCTGTAGGAGATTCTGTGGTATTTTCGACAACTTTATTAGAAAGGAGGGAGGAGGGAAGGGAGGAAGGGAGAAGGAAAAAAGGGAAGGAGGAAGAAAAAAGAAAGGAAGAAAGAAAAATATGTTGATCCCCTACTGTTATAAACTTTTTACCATGAACTACTGGTTTATATGGTATATGCCTTTATTTCATCACAGCAATCAACTATGCTTTTTTAAAGTGGTATCGACTTGTTTATTTTATAATACTGGAAAGTAGAGTTCTTTCGAAGGCAAGGTTCAATGGTTAAAATCACTGTTTTAAAAGTTCTTTCTATTAAGAGCAAAACTAAAACTCTTCCGTGTTTGAAGTGAAAATGGGAAGGGGGCATTCATATGTAATGTGGGGTAGGAGGCCTGCCTAGAAACAAGTACAGGGGAGGAAAGCTGCTGTTGCTTCTCCTGCTGAGTTTTTACAGCGGAGACTGGCTCTAGGTGCAGCAGCTGTCCAAATCCTTGCGGAAAACCGAGCAGCTTGCTTTGGCTGTGCAACAGAGCTCTTCCCTCACTATTTCACCGCGCCTGCACAGTTCCCCCAGGAACAGCAGAGGGCACTGTTCCCCGGTATGCAGGATCTCAAAAGTCCTCTTTTTGCAAAGGAAAAGTATGGATGAGACCAGACAGAGGAAGATCCAGGATAAATGGCAAATCTGTCCCATTTTTCACAGGTTCATAGGCCATAGCCAGCCATGTTTGAACATCAGCAGCACAGATATAGTACCCGATCCCAAGAGCTGAAGCACTATCTACAATTGTAATCTGCCTAAAATCTTCAGAATGTTTGTCTTGAGTGAAGGTATTTCCTTACATAATCTCTGCCTATGAAGAGGCAGATCCATGAGGATCCATGAAGCAGGATTCCACACTTTGATAAATCCCCAAAATAGATCTCACTCCACAGTGCTACTTCTAGGAGTATTATAAAAACACATAAATTGAAGATTCATGGATGGGTGAAATAAATAAAGGACATTAAGGGCACACTTGTGATGAGCACTGAGTAATGTATAGAAATGTTGAATCAGGGGGCGCCTGGGTGGCTCAGTGGGTTAAAGCCTCTGCCTTCGGCTCAGGTCATGATCCCAGGGTCCTGGGATCGAGCCCCGTATCGGGCTCTCTGCTCCGTGGGGGGCCTGCTTCCTCCTCTCTCTCTGTCTGCTTCTCTGCCTACTTGTGATCTCTGTCTGGCAAATAAATAAATAAATAAAATCTTAAAAAAAAAAAAGAAATTTTGAATCAGTATACTGGACATCTGAAACAACTATAACACTGTGTGTTAATTATACTTCAATTTAAAAAAAAAATTCATGGAGACAGAGGTAAAGGAGGTAAAAGAGCCTATTGCTCATCACTCTTCAGAAACTGAATCAAATTCCCCTTTGGTCATGCTTATTTTCCTGTTTCAAAATCTTCCCCTTCCCAACTCTTCAATCTGTCTTCCTCTTCCTTCATACAATCTTAAAAAAAAAAAAAAAAAAAAAAAAAAATGCTGCTAGAGCCATTCAGCTCTCCCACTCAGATTATATTTACCACTTAGCAAAACCAAAGTTTGGGAGTCAACCTGTAGAGTAACCAGAGTACACACTAAGATGTATCAGCAAACCCAGAAAGTGCCAAGACACTCGCCCAGCCCCTTTGTAACAGATATGATGTTAATGATCATCAGTTCCATTTATTGGGGCACCTGGGTGGCTCAATCAGTTGAGCAACCGACTCTTGATTTTGGTTTAGCTCATAATCTCAGAGTCGTGAGATCGAGCCCCCAGATGGGCCCCATGTTCAGTGTGGCATCTGCATGAGATTCTCTCTCTCTCTCTCTCCATCTGCTCCTCCCACTCCTTAGTATGCTTTCTTTCTCTCTCTAAATAAGTAAATAAAATCTTTAAAAATAATTAATTCCATTTACTGAGGGCATATTATATGTCAGGCACTTTACTACTGTTTCACTTGCTTTATTAAACACGATTTTCCAAGGTAGATATTATGCCAGGTACACAAATAAGGAAGCCAGTTCTGAGAGCAAATATAACAACTAAAGTTCTGAGTTGAAAAAATCAGAATCTTTGCCTGCATCTGGTTCCAAGGTTAACCTATAAAAAATTCAATTGTTTCTGACCTCAAACATTGACGCAGACAGCTAGCCAGGGGGGGGCAGGGTCCAGAATGGTGGGATGTTCACCCACCTGCCAGGGGGGAATTCCCAACCATGGTTGCAATTACAGAAGAATTAGACACCAGGGAGGCTCTCAGACAACTCAGAGATTCATAGAATTGCCAGGGAATTTAGAGACTGCTCTTTCAGGCCCAGTGGGGTACTCTCCCCTAAATCACACAACTAGTTAATGACAGAACCAGGATAAGAACCTAGTCTCTTATGTCTTCCTTCAGTGGCCCTTCTAATAAACTAGCATTTCCCAACTCTTTAGAGGGGGGCACTAACATAATGGAGATTCTGTTGCAATTGTTATTTAAAAACAAAACCAACTATACCCTCCTGTCTTCTAAGGTAAAGTCATAATTCTTAACTCTGGGGAAATAAGCCTCCATATTTCTCCCCCTGCTCCTATAAAAATTAACAGAGAAGTGGAGAAAAGAAAGGGTAACACTTGAAATACACGAACCTTTTTTTAGCAGAGCACCTTAATAGATCTTCAGTTATGCAAAGTGTGACTTGTGGGGGAGTGATAAGTGCTAGAGCTGAAATGCTCTTTATAATAATAAAATACAAGGAATTTTCGTCACATCTGGAAGAAGTAGAGAAAGCTGAATAACATGAAGAAACCCAAAACTCCAAGTTCATGGAAATGGGCATGCAACTTTCAGAA